TCTTTGTTGTGTTAACCAGGTTTTTGAAGGAACTTCTGGAATTGACAACAAATATACAACCGTCCAGTTTACTGGAGAGGTACGGTCGCACGTGTTTGCTAGTTTGTCTTTCAGAATCATATTGTTATTGAACGCAATGCGGCACAATGTTCCATGAGTAATATATTTCCTGTAGGCGGTTGACTGGGAAGGGGCTTTACATGTCGTTTCCATTCTGTAATTTTGTTATGGTTAAGTTGAGCAGTGCCGAAGTGTTATATTGTCTAGAGCTAGAGGATCATTCTACAAATGTGGCTGCACTTATGAATGTTGACTTATGGGTGTTTAGGATTGGACCGTACTCTATCTCTATCATAAAACTGCTAATGTATTGTCATGCAGTTTTGAATTTTAAAAATATTCTGCGTTGTTCTTTTGAGCTCTGTATTTATGCAATTGTGCTACAATTTATTGCAGGTTCTGAAAACACCCGTCTCATTGGATATGCTGGGTCGAATTTTTAATGGTTCTGGGAAGCCCATTGATAACGGCCCCCCTATTCTTCCCGAGGCTTACTTGGATATATCTGGCAAGTTCCGGAATTGTATGAAGTAGTAACTATGATATATGTCAGGTGGCCATTTCTCATGTATTCTTCAACCTGTTTGCTTCAGGAAGTTCAATCAATCCTAGTGAGAGAACATATCCTGAAGAGATGATACAGACTGGAATCTCAACTATCGATGTCATGAACTCAGTTGCCCGAGGACAGAAAATTCCTCTTTTCTCTGCTGCTGGTCTTCCACACAATGAAATAGCTGCTCAAATATGTCGTCAGGCTGGTTTGGTCAAACGACTTGAGAAATCTGACAACCTTCTTGAGGTATGTGATTACCATAATTCTAGAACAGCTCTCCCTCAATAGACCACATAGAATTTTGGAACGAATATCTTATTAAAATTGTGGGCTGTGCTCATCTACCTGATTTGTGAAAGTATTTTCTTTTACTTGGTTAGTTTTTAATAGCTTGTGGTGTTTGTGCTAGCATTCTCATCGTGATCAACTTTTTGCTGCAGGATGGTGAAGAAGATGATTTTGCCATTGTTTTTGCGGCTATGGGAGTTAACATGGAGACAGCTCAGTTCTTCAAGCGCGATTTTGAGGAAAATGGATCAATGGAGAGGGTTACCCTTTTCCTCAATTTGGTAAATAATGCTTTATCACCATGTTTGGGACTGGCCGATAATAATAATATTAAAAAAAATAATTATATACATATTCAGTGAAAAGGTCTTTGCCTTTTTTTTCTTTTTCTTTTTTTCTATATCATTCTTTTGTTTCTGTAGGCCAATGACCCAACAATAGAACGCATCATTACACCTCGCATTGCCCTAACAACAGCTGAATATTTAGCATACGAATGTGGGAAGCATGTTCTTGTCATATTGACAGACATGAGTTCTTATGCCGATGCTCTTCGTGAGGTACAACTCCATGAACATTTTAAACTCTCAGCTATATCTGCTGATGATTTCTCAATTGTAGTAATGTATATGATATGTAGGCCATGTCTTCTATCAACCGTCATAAAATATCTTTCTTCTATCTTTTTTTTTTTCACATCTTTCCTGGCTTTGAATCATATTTCTTTCTCTAGGTACATACAAATGTCATGCTCATAAACAAGTGTTTTTTATTTCCTTTTAGGTCTCTGCTGCTCGAGAGGAAGTGCCTGGAAGACGTGGATATCCTGGTTACATGTATACTGATCTGGCAACTATATATGAAAGAGCTGGACGTATTGAAGGACGAAAGGGCTCCATTACACAAATTCCCATTTTAACCATGCCCAATGATGGTAACGTCTATATTAACCTTGAACTTACTATCTGGATTAACACTTTTCTGTATAGTGGTTCCGTATCATCTTATGTTTTCTTTTTTCGTGTTGATTGAACAGATATTACGCACCCAACTCCAGATCTTACTGGTTATATTACTGAGGGGCAGATTTACATTGATAGACAACTTCATAATAGACAGGTAAGCGGAGATGGCCCTTGCCATTTACTTTTTGATAGGTTATATGAAAAACATGAAAACCACTTCAGAACCTGAGATGGCCATTTTTAATCTTATACAACTATATGTCTATTTTGCCATTTGAGTTTCTCTTCACATAATATGAGTAATGGTGGGCTCTCGTCAATCATCTAACTTGGCTAAATATTGTCTGCCTGAATTTATAGATATACCCTCCGATCAATGTGCTGCCGTCATTGTCTCGTCTAATGAAGGTAAATAGGAAAGATATGCAATTTGTTTAGATTGACATGCTGACTATATCTATTATCTATAGATGTTGTAGTTTTATTTTTATTTTATTTTACTTTTGTTTTTAATTTAGGGTAAGGGTGTCATTTTAAGTATTAATTTTGGTTCATGCAGAGTGCAATTGGTGAGGGCATGACCCGTAGGGATCACTCTGACGTGTCCAACCAGGTATGTTATCTGGTTACCATTATAAGTGTTGATTTGCCAAAGGGATCAAGCTACTTATTTATTTACTTTTCATTTGATTGGTTATTGATTACGATTAATGATTATTTATAATTTACATGTAGCTATACGCGAACTATGCCATTGGGAAGGATGTTCAGGCAATGAAAGCCGTGGTCGGAGAAGAAGCCCTTTCCTCCGAAGATCTGGTCTCTTCTGTTATTCCATGCACTATATTACTTCAATTTTTTTTTTAGGAGAGCTTCAGGAACTAGTGAATTAACAATGGGAATTAGTAAATTGCTAACTGCACATTATTCATTTATTGTGCAGCTATACCTCGAGTTCCTCGACAAATTCGAGAGGAAATTCGTCACACAGGGAGCCTACGACACACGCAACATTTTCCAGTCTCTCGACTTGGCGTGGACACTGCTCAGGATCTTCCCCCGGGAACTTCTTCATCGTATTCCAGCAAAGACACTCGATCAGTACTACAGCAGGGACACATCTAATTAAACGCAAAGCGGTTAAGTGAAGAAAGCCCGTGTATTTTGGCGTATGGAATTTGCTATGTGTTCGTTTGATGTGTATTTTATTGGGGTGTTTTTTTTGTTTTTTTGTTTTTCCCTCTCTCTCTCTCTCTCTCTCTCTCTCTCTCTCTCTCTCTCTCTCTCTCTGGTTTTTGAATAAGTGATGATATTCTTCTGTTTGTGCGCACGGGACGGGACAGGGAAAGACGTTATTCTTTAAGAGATTTATAGTGTAATTCGTTTATATTTCGAGTCACTCTACGGTTCTTAAATGAGGAGTTTAACTGTGAGCTACCGGACAATGGGTGGCCTGTATGATTATATCTAAAAATAAATAAATAAATAAATACGAGATGTTTGTAGCTTTTGTTTCTCTTGAATCAATTTTGGTCGAGTGGAATGGACCAGTTGTGGATATATATGCCCTCGTTGATTCTAAATGTGATATGTGCCGTTAATTTTAAGCTCTGGTTAAATAGTGAATTTAACCGTGCCCATACTTGGTTCCGAGCTCACACACATGGACTTTCTACCTGTACAATGCTTTCAAAGAAATGTAACATTGTCCATTAAAATCACTCCAAGCAAAGATTTTTGCTCAAAAAAGAAAAGCATGGTTTATCCAAGCTTATTAAGCCTCTGCATGTGTATACATCCTACACAAATGACAATTTCTAACATAACCTAATAATTTCAAAGCCAATACACTCCTCAACAACTAACCACTTGTGAACTCCACCCCAAACAATAATCATCAATTTTATCATTGAAAAACCACACCACACAAGTCAAAGAAGAAGCTCCCTTTCACTTAAGAGAAAACACCAGCAGTATCCAAAATAATCAAAATCACGGCTCGACACCAACCGTCTGATAACCAAAGTGAAACTCCGAACCCGAGCGGCTCGAAAATCTGAACCACCGTTTCTTCTCACTGTACTTGAGGCAAGGCTGCAAGACAAGTCCGAACAAAACAGCAAACAGGCTAATAACCATCACCTTCACAGAAGCCAACGCCAACACAACTAATATCAACAATGACGGCGGCACGCACATCAAAACTGCTCCGGCAGTCCCCACCGGAACCCTGTACGGCCTGGAAGCTTCCGGAAGGTCAACTCTCAGCTTCACGAACGCCACAAACTCCATAATCATCCCGAAGCAGTACAAGAAATTCTCTGCAGCCACAATCTCCTGAAAGCTGAGCCACGAGAGAAGCGCTACACCCGACGCGGAGAATAAAATCCCGACGGGTGGGGTCCCGTATCGAGACCTCCTTGCAAAACATTCCGGAAGCATCCCACATTCGGCCATCCCCAGCAGCTGAAAAGAGTCGCTGCTCATTTCAGCCACAAACATCCCCATGTTCGAAAGTGCTGAGGCCCCTTGGACCCAAAATCTCAACCAAACGCCCCCAAGCATTTTCGCAATATCCGAAAAATACCCATCACTCCACAGCTCTCGGTCGAGCGGGACATTGCGGGCCCCGGTGCCTATCAATAGAGGGAAAAAATACGAGACCACGACTAAAACTAAGGCGTAGAACAGAGCCTTGGGGAGGGTTCGGCCCGGATTTTCGACCTCGCCGGCGAGTGTGCTAATCGAGTCCCAATAATTTAAGTTCCAAAAAAGGGTGTTTAAATACAAAGCCCAGTCGACTTTTTTCAAGTCGAGCACGAGCCATCGAGAAGGTTCTATTTGAGGGATCGCAACAAATCCCATAAAAATGAAAGGGAGCAAAGAGAAAGCGCCGAGCAATATAGCAACCCACCCGACTATTGTTAAGCCTCTGTAATTCATGTAAGTCAGTGCAAGTGTGAGCCCAAGAATTGAAACCGAACGGGCTAAACCATCTTCAAGAACGGGAAAGGCCGATTTCAGATAGTCCAGAAATAAAACGGGATATAATGCATTGTCGATAACTCCACTAAGCCATTTCATCCACCCTTGCTGAAAGCCCCAATAAGGGCCCAAAGCAGACGATACCCAAACAACATAACCACCGTTTTCGGGGAACATTGTGCCTAATTCTGCCGTAATCAAAGCTTCTGGCACGCTCCATATAAACGGGAAAAGCACGAAACCGAGCAAAGCTAAAAGGGGCCCTGCTGCTTGGACACTGTCTTCGACACCAAAGGGTCCTCCGGATACCTCGTAAAAAATTAGGAAAACGAGAGGGATTATCGATACCTTGGAGAAATTTTCCAATTTGGGAGAGGCTGAACCCTCTAACCCCACATAATCGGCACTGCCGGCTTGCTGCATTTGGTTTGTTGTAAGCTTAGCTGCTGAAACTCGTTGTTTCTGTTTCCAATTAAGTAAAACATATGAATAAATCAATCAAAGAGACTGGCTATCGAGAGAATGAGTGAGCAGTAATCTTAACTGATGAGCACAACTACAGTAATAAGTAATAACCCTTTTTATTTTTCTCTCAATAGAAAGGATTTTTGTTTATCCCCAAACATCAATTGCGCATAATGATGAAATGTCGTACAACAAACCCAAATTCGTGGCAAGCTTTTTGCAGCAATGGCGAGCGTATAGCTCGTGTAAATACGAGGTTGATGATACACTCACCAGGCGAATTGAAAAAAAAAAAAAAAAAAAAAAATGGGATTTACACAATCGCAAACAGGGAAATTGATTATTAAGGAAAATATAAAGATCGATCGCGAGTAAAGTGATACCATGAAAGCAAATATGAGAATCGAGCTAGTTACAGAGGAGATGATTGCGAGATTTGCTATCCATGCGGAGCTGCAGGGAGGGGACGGGAACAAACATATTTTGGGGTCTGCAGTTTTCTGAGCGTACGAGTTTTAATGCCAAGAAGTCGTGCTAAAAGTGATTGTACATTTGTTTGTCCCTTGAACACATCTAATCCGCGTGCTAATGAATAGTTCGAAATGTGTAATTTCACCTTAACTCCGTCAGATTTTTGAGACTTTAATTTTAAAGTGTACGCACTCACAGAGTTCGAATCATTTATTTATTTAAAAAAAATAAAAAATAAGTGGACTAAAATAAAACAAAAAAAAAATTGTGGACAAAAATAAAACGGACGGATTCTCACAATCCGTGTTTTAAAGAAACACGTATTTTGAAAATCCGTGTATGTGTAATTTTACTACGAACACGGATTCCAAAAATCCGTGTTCATTTAATTATGAACGGAACACGGATTACCAAAATACGCGTTCACTTAATCTCGTAATTAAGCTAATTAATTAAACGGAACACGAATTCTGAGAATACGTGTTTCGTAAAACACGAATTATGATAATACGTGTTTAATTATTTATTCATTTTTTTTTATATTAAAATGAACACGAATTCTGATAATACGTGTTTCCTAAAACACGAATTATGATAATACGTGTTTAATTATTTATTCATTTTTTTTTAATATAAATATTTTTTATAGTATATAATTTTTTTTAATATATACTATATACATATATTTTATAATTGACTGAGATTGTTATATAATAAAATTTAATTTTTTGGTTTTGTTTATTTATTTATTTATTTTGAGTTAGGGCTCGACTCTTGGATGCTCACGAGCTTCCTACTACCGAACACGTTTATTTTGGCTGAATTTATATTGTCATCTTTCAATATGAAGATTTTTTATAAATTTTGATCTAACATTTTTAACACGAAACAATATCACTTTAATATCAATTCATTCGTCAACTAATAATCTAGTACAAAAAAGTGAAGCACAATTAACGATAAAAAAAATGAACCACGAAATATGTACACAAAACCATCAAATTAAATATCTAAAAATCCAATACAAAAAATAAAACTAACTAACTAGGAGTATATGGATCCCTGGGCTTGCGTACTCGGGACCCTTTCCGAGGAGGCCGTGGTACTGAAGGAGACGATGTTGCGGTCTGTCCAGGCGTGACTAGCTCTTGGTCTTCTTCACAAAATTAATTAATTTTTGAAAAAAATTAATACTTCGACCGAACAAATAAAAAAAAAAGAAATGAAAATAAATACATATTTGTAGTTAAGTAAAAAAAAATCTCACCTTGTTCGTCTTCTTCAGTCCCGGGGGCTGCACGGCGTCTTCTCCCTCCACCCCCTCCACCAACGTTGGCCGCCGGTCTACGCCTCGCCCGTTGGGGCAGTGTCTGCTGGGGTGGGATGTAGTCCTCTTGAGATAAAATTTGCCCCGACGACACCCCTTGTTGTGTGACCGGCAGGCCCCCAACCGTCAGAGAAGCGTAGAGAACAGCCCGAGTTTGTTCGTACCCTTGCTGCGATGAGGGGTCTAGCGTACCAAACACGTCTTCCATCGTGGATAGCGTGTTATACGCAACCTCTGTACCCGAATGCTGAAAATAAAATTCAAATACTGTTATGAACATGTAAAAAAAAAATAAAAAAAATAATAATAATAATAATAATAATAATAAATCACAAATTACCAGACACTTCTCCCGGTCGGCAATTGGCTGAAACCCCCCCGTCCCGTGCGATCTCCGCGTACTTGTTAGGGTCACTGAGTAGGTTCACAGTCCTACGGCGATACCACTCAATGTACCCATCAGCCGGCTGCAGGAAGGAGTCCACCGGTACATCTGGGAGGACATGATTATCTCTGTCGTCAGTCCAGATCCTCCCAAGATTTGAATGGAAGGCCCCCCCAATCGGTGTATACCCTCCCAGTCATGCCCTGGCCTTTGTGGCGGTCGTCCCAATCGGCCAGACTCGTAATGAGTGGCGTCTGCGGGATGGGCTGGTGGCACCCAAACTGGCGGAGCACCCTATCAGGCTCGTGGGGTTCTGCGATATTCCAACAGAAGATGAACTCCCTGTACATCCAGATACCTCGGTCTCGTGTACACTGATCTGGGAGCTGATCAGCGTCTATGTACGACTGATAGGGTACCCAAATAAACTGTAAAAAAACAATTATAGAATTATTAATGAATTTATAAAAAAAAATAGAATTAAAAAATTAATAATTATTATTTTGACGGAAAAAACTTACATCGGTCTCCCTCAAGCTAATCAGCTGATCCCGAATAGCAGCCGTGCCCGTCACCAGGTGTCGCATATCCTTCGATCCCACCCACCTTAAAAATCATAGAAAAAAACTATTTGTAATTAGAAAATATTATAATTTAAATAACTCAAGTGTTAAATATAATTAAAGGTTATCATTACCTTGCACCCAAGGGAAGACCTGGCTGAGAGCCGAACTGCGTTCTCTTCATGATTGGGCTAAGCCGAGGGATGCGTTCCCATGCCCAAACCTGCACATATGGACATATACATTTTTAGCACATATTATTGTAATTTATAATAAATAAAATTAATTTGCGATTAACAAGTAATTAAAGTTACCTGCATCAATTGCACGCAGCCTTTGATAAATTTTTCTTTCGGTTCGTAGGCCTCGCAAAGCGCTCTATATAACCCGGCCAAAACCGCTGCACCCCAGCTGTACCCCGGTATGGCCTCGATGTCAGTCAACAGGGACAACCAGTGAAGGTTGACCCCGTTGGCCCGATGGTCGGGGAAGAAGAAGGACCCAATACACCAGAGTATCAGGACTCTCGCCCTCTTCTCGTACTCTGATGTATCGAGTCCATCCCTCAGAGGTCGCTTGCACTCTGTCTCTAAACTCGAGAAGTACAAGTACTGGCCAGAAATATCCCACTGAGTGGGGTCGAAGGCCGGGTCGTCGCGATCCTTGAAATACGTTTAGAATCAATTAAAAACGACCTATGACTTAAGTATACATAAACATAATAATAATTAAAAAATATAAGCAAAAAAAAGTTTTAACTAAAAATATACATGTACATACGGGTAATACCCTAGGTAGTAAAAGCAGTAGTCTCTCCACTCCTGGGCAGTCCGATGTATGGTGTGGCCCCAGATCGCATCTCCATTGGCGGGGAGGCCAAATAATATCTGAACGTCCTGTAGCGTAATAGTGGCCTCCCCGAAGTCGAAGTGGAATGTGTGCGTCTCCGGGCGCCACCTCTCAATCAGGCATGTAATTAGGGCATTGTTTGTTTGGATTCGCCCCATCCGAAATAAAGGCCCGAAGCCGGCCTTCTCGATCGCCTCCCATGTCCGGGCATGCTGGTTGTTGTCCTTCAATGCATCCCAGAACTGGGTGTCTGCACGGCGTGGCTTAACCACGCCGTGCCTCAACCCCGCTCTGTCATGAAATACCGCATCGGACCGGTGGCGGGTCTGAAGGTATAGAAGTGATGGGTCATTCGGCCCGGGGTGTGGGGTGTAGGGTCTAGGATCCGATGATGAGGATTCCATTTTCTGCAAAAAAATGACCGAGATTGTATTATAAGTTGATTGAAAAAAATCAAATGAAAACTCTCATGAAAAAGAGAGCAATTTAAGCAAGAGAGAACCGCACATGAGGTGTTCGATCAAAGTTCAACACACACAATAATCATAATATCCTTCAATAATCATAATATCCTTCAAACATAATATCCTTCAAACATAATATCATTCAACACACACAATCCCTTTAAGTCATTATATCGAACAAACATAATCAACAATCATATATCCTTCAATTAGCAAGTAAGGTCAAAAAATTACTCCATGGTATGCTAAACATCACTCTCATTCTCATACGTAACAATTAGAATGAAAAATCACATGAAAAAGAGAGCAATTGTGGCAAATGAGACACGCACAACAAGTGTTCGACAAAAGTCCTCAATGCGTTCTTAGCCCAAATATCAAAATAATCCCAAGAATCCACCATCCCTACCTCAAATCGCCATTGACAACACGAAACCATAAGAAAATGGAAGAAATTTCGTACATATTTGATGAATTCGAGCAAAAATCCAAAATATAAAAAACCCTAGGTTAAATTTGACATCATGTTTTTGCTATAAACACATCTTTTATACCTAAATTCATCCTTAAAATCGAGAAGTAGATAAAAAATGAAGAGAAATGATACCTTGTTGGACGAATTTGGTGAAGAAATCAGCCTTCTCTCGCTCAGTTCCTTGGTCTCGCTCTCTTCCTCTCTTTCTCTGTGTTCTCTGTTGCTCTGCGTGGTCTGATTCTGTTCGGTTTTTTTTTTTATATTTACCGAAACACGGATTCTCAGAATCCGTGCGTGTTTTTTAATGTAAAACACGTATTCTGAGATTACGTGTTTTATAAAAACACAAAAAATGGTAGAGGCTCCCAGATTGAGGACTCGAACCCGGGTCAATGGGTGAGTCCGGTTTCTCTGGGCGCACCTCGTACCATTGTGCCGGTAGACACTTTCCGATAATTTTTGTACAAATTATATACATATACATATACTATATAATAAATTATAAAATAAATTGTAATTTGTATAGTATATTTAATTTAATTTATAATTTATAATCTATATTGTATACTACATTATATTATGTTGTATATCATATTATATCACATTATAATATAACATATATGTTATAACATATAATTGGACTTCAATTGGACTAATTTGACTTCAATTGCACGAATTTGACTTCAATTATACGAATTTGACTTTAATATAATATAACTATATATTAATAAATTAATAATATACCATACTATAATATAACAATATATATATATATACCATAC